CATGAGCCCCATCTGCTGGGACCTTGCCCTCATAACCCACGCTGCCTGCTGAGAAGCCAGTGGGAAGGCCAGCGTTCACGAAAAGGTTTTCACCTGTGATCGGTTGCTGCTCTACAAAAAAAGAGGTGGCGTGTCTCATACAGGCAGAGGGAACCCTTGTCCTGATGCCATACGTCACGGTGGAGCTGCAGGGTAATGACAGCAATGCCACTGCCGTGGCCCTGCCCACGCTCTGCAACGTGCTCTGGCTGCTGGAGAGGGTGGAGGATAGCTGCTGCTATCCAGCGTGCTCTGTAATGACTTAAGGTTGGGGGAGAGCCCCATTCCCCCCTCACTGGTCACCTCCATCCACGCCTGCCTCCGTGGCCCCCAGACCTGACCCTCAGCTCTGCCTGTTTGGGAATCACCCAAGAAAATATGTTTAACATGCAAAATTATGCAGACTTTAACCTGTTCAAGACATTTTTCTCTGTCCCAGAGCATGGCGGAGAGGGGCTGGCTGGAGAGGCAGCTGGTGGCAGTGTCACCCCTCGTCTGGGACTGCTTGGCAAGCACGCAGGCAGGCCTGCCCCAGGGCCATGTGCTGCCTGAGGGTGTGACAGCTACTTCTGCTGTCATCCCTGGCTGCTGCCAGCTCTTGCCTTGGGGACACACTCCTGTGAGTTGAGGTCCCTCGTGACCGGAGATGAGCACCAGGCAGGGCTGTCCTGGCTCTCCCCACTCTCCCGTGGACCCATGCAGAACCCCTCGTGTCCCTGTTGGGACAGCTCTGCACCCCCCTGTGAGGGGTGCTCCCTTTCTCAGTTAATTCACATGATGTCTTGAACAAAGATTCAAGGTGGAGAACTCCACTGTATCTCTGAAGTGTCTGATTTTTGCTTGCTTGAGCCCTGAACAAAAGCTCCACTGTAGCTCTGTAGAATCATAGAATCACAGAATGGCCTAGGCTGGAAGGCACCTTAGAGATCATCTAGTCCAACCTCCCTGCCATGGGCAGGGACGCCTCTCAGCTAGATCAGGCAACACATGGGGACCGAACTGTAGTGCAAAATTATCAACTTCAAAACTTTCTACAATGAGAAAACCTTGAGTTTTGTTATTACTAGGCACAAGTAGATAGGCCTTGTTGAACTTTGCATCTAAAACTTGCTAGGATCAGTCTGGGACCAGATAATGGAGAAAAGGAGCTGACCTATCTGGTATGACCCCCAATGCACATGCCTCAAGGGAGAGTTCAGCTCGAGGACACCAAGAACGTGACCACCAAAGGGTCTCGAAGACCACCAGAGGACCCCAGGAGACCACCCATCCATTTAACAGTGCATGCCCCAAAGGGTGGACACTATGCAAATAATTTCTAGGAAATAATATGAATATGCATGTGTGGCAGTTGCATCCTCCCTCACAACAGACCTTGCCCCTCCGTGGGTGAGTGATTTACTGGGTACACTTTAGTGAGTGTGTGCAGATTTTGGGTCATATTTCTAGAGGAATAGTCGCGAATTCCTAATTCCAGTTGTGTACTGATAATTCCCAACTTGCATCTGAATCTGTAATATACTTTGTTGCAGTTCATGGTGCTTTTTAGGTTAGAATAAATTTTGACTTTTGTAGCAGGTCCGTCTGTTTTTCTGGGTGCCTCCACGACAGTATGACAATTCCAAGAAATATAATGCATGTGTATGTATTAGAACAGTATAATCTTTGCTTACTCTAGATAATGGGATGCACGCTAGGAGGAATTATGTCCCATGCATTCAGCGCTACGATAAAGAATACCTGCTTTCTAAAACTCCAAAGTTTCGTCTTAGAGAGTTTCTTTGACCAACTTTTTCAGTGTCATGCAAATGCAATAAACTTAATTTATTAACAAATGAAAGCTCCCACAAATCTACAAGTTCTGGTGTCGGTTGAAAAGAGCAATTGCTACACTACACCTGACTCTTAAGCTTAGAATAATGATCCAGATCACAAACATGCTCACCCCTATGAAGATGAGGACTCTCAGCCTCAAGTAGTTCCCCTGGCTGGGGTCCCAGACCAACGGGGGCTTTGCCCCGACTGCAGGACCTGCTGCTCCAAAGGGACTTGCTCCCACATGCCCCTGGCAGGACCCTGTTTTAAAGTTCAGTCGGATCTGAGCTGTGGTCAATCCAAGTCATATCAGCCTCCCACTAGCTACCAGCCAACTTCTCGAGTGTACACCTAGGCTGGTGGGCTAGATCCAAGCTAGCCAGAAACTCCTAGAAGTTTCTAGCAGGGGGAAGGTACCTGTCACCTCGCTCCAATCCTCAAATGCTGCCCAGGTGCCAGCCCACAGCGTGCTGCTTGCTTTAGGTCTACAAGGACTACAATTGTACCCTGAACCAGAACAACATCAGCGCCAACAACAATAAGTTCCACATCATCCAGCTCCTTGATCACAGTGCGTACAGTGCCTGGAACCACTAGAGTTGCACAGTGAGTCCACCCTGGCACCACTCCTCCCTCCACAGCTGTCCTGGGGTGATGCTGGAGGTTCTTGGAAGTAGCTCTGGGGAAGATGGGTTTTCCTGCGCTCTCCGGTGTCCCCCAGCCAGATATGAAGATGCTGCTGCTGGAGAAGCTGAGCAAGCGGCAGATTATTAGTGGCTTTGAGGCACTGCAGGATCTGGAGGTGGCGCTGTGGGAGGAGCAGCCTCCCCGTATGCCCACCTGGAGGACCTCTCCTGCTTCTACACCGTCATCTCCCATAATTTTGGAGACAGTGCCTGCTGCCCCCATGCCGCGCTCCTCTTCTCACTCATGTGCCCCCCAAGCACGTGCCCAGGTCTCCAGGGTGCCAGGGAAGGGTGACTCCTGGCTGCGTTACCCCAATGCCTCGTGGCTGGTGGCAGGGAGACACCGTAGACCTGCCTGTCCCTGAGCCCTGGGGACCTCGGGGCTGATCTGTCCTCGAGAAGGACCAGGCCTGGTGCAGCAGATGGCTGTGCAGGGATCGGTGACCCTGGTGCCAACTTACCGAGCCCCCTGTCCTGGTGGGCCTGTGGAGTGCAGGCAGCGCCCGGGGGTGACAGCTGGTGCCATCCGCAGCTGGCGGCTGCAGGCAAACAGGATGACGAGCGGGTGATGATCGGGCGCTGGGAAGGGGGAGTGTGGCCTCGCAGAGGGACCGGCACGCCTCTGCTGCTCTGGGAGCGACACCAGCAAGAAGGACCCCAGCGAGGAGGGGAGCATCGCTCACCTCCCCAGGAGCAAAGGTGCGCTGGGTGTTCCCCTCCCACTCCAGGGTCCCCCTCAGCCGGAGCAAGGCGCTGGGATGAAGCAAGCAGGTTTGTGCTGATCCTCCTTCGGGCGTGCTGGTGGGGCTGGGGTGAAGGGATGGGGAGTCAGTGTGGCACGGGTGCCTGCAGGTCCCAGCAGTGCCGCCTCAGCCAGGTTGGGAACAGCCTTGATGCCAGCTCTGGGGTAGACAGGGTGCCGTGATCTTGTCAGGCACCTCTCCCTGCTCCAGCATCTTGTAGGGGTTCACGTTATCTCTGAGTTTCTCTGCGGCTCGTCATTTTGGTGGGTTCTCCTTCATGTCCTGCTCTCTCCCCAACAGGCAAGAAGAAAACAACCATGGCTGCGGTGGGGTTTACCTCTAAAGGGTGCAGGAGAAGAGCTCTTGCTGCCCAGGCACCGAAGCTGCTGGCTTAGCCCTCGGGCAGGATGGCGAGACAAGCGGGGCTGAACACCACAGACAGCCTAGAGCCGCTCTCTGTCCCCGAGCAGTCCGTTGCCCAGGAGGTAGTGGGCCTCTTCTGCATGGTCCTGCTCACCCTTACTGCCCTGGTGGCCAACACAGTGGTGATGGTCGTCATTCTGAAAACCTCCCTTCTCCGCAAGTTCATCTTCGTCTGCCACCTCTGCGTGGTCGACCTCCTCTCTGCCATTTTCCTCATGCCCCTGGGGATCATCTCCAGCTCCTCCTGCTTCAACAGGGTGATCTACAGCATTGCCGAGTGCAAGGCCTTGATATTCCTAAATGTCTGCTTCATCAGTGCCTCCATCCTCACCATCTCCATCATCAGTGTGGAACGGTACTACTACATTGTCCATCCTTTAAGGTACGAGGTCAAGATGACCATCAGGCTGGCGGTGGCCGGAGTGGTCTTCATTTGGGTCAAGTCTGTTCTCATCACTGTCTTGGCACTGGTGGGCTGGCCTCAAGGCAATGGGGCCACGAGTGCCAGCCGCTGCACCGTCTACTGGAGCCCTGGAGTCCACAAGAAGGTTTTTGTGATCATCTTCAGCATCATCTGCTTTGTTCTGCCCACCATCATCATCTTTGTTGTATACTGCAGCGTCTACCGCGTGGCCCGGATGGCATCGCTGCAGCATGTGCCTGTGCCAGCACAGGCAGTCGTGCCAAGACCGCGATCCAACTCCATTGCCAGCCAGGTGACCATCATCGCCACCAGGATCCTGCCGCTGCCCAGGCTGACACCAGAGCGCTTTCTGGGAAGCAATAAGGCCATCCTCACCTTGGTCTTCATTGTGGGACAGTTCCTGTGCTGCTGGCTGCCCTTCTTTGCTTTCCACTTGCACTCCTCTGTTGCTGTTGACACAATGGGCGCCGGGCACGGGGAGATGGTGGTCACCTGGATTGCCTACTCCTCCTTTGCTATCAATCCCTTCTTCTACGGGCTGCTGGAACGGCAGA